GCAGAATGTCTGTGGCGCATGGGGGCACTCAAAATTGTCAACTACAGGCTCAGTTTTGTACTCCTTGCCACGATGAATTTCGTGGGCTAGTTCCGATGGTACTGTCAGACAAGTGAGATAAGTCTCAACAATAACAACAAATCTAAATTTAAATCTCGGACAGATTATAGATGATTTTCCAGTTTCTTACTTCAAAAAGTCTAATAGACGCTACAAATAGAGTCAGAAAGTTTGCTATCGGCCTACTATAGACCTTAGAAATCTATTTTATTTATAATACTCATGGCATATAATAACACTTGCCGCAACATAGTGTTAAAAATACAGATAACATGATTTTTCAACGATTAACTTGCGTTAATGAGCAAAGCACTTTTATATACCAAAATGGAATTTTGGAACTTTTATATACCAAAATGGAATTAGAGAAGGCATATATGTGTCATTCAACACCAAAGTGTGTGTAACACTCTGTGTAGTGTAAAAAAATACACGCAGAGGCTAAAGGCTTGCATCCTGTACGTTATTACAAAGCATCATCATAATCATTAGATTTTATTTTGGATGCAGACGATAGTATACAAATAGTATATATGGAAGTTTCGCCTTGGCTATTGCATACTGTTATGGTTTAACTGGTAGCGCGCCCGACTAGCATTCAGGAGATTTGGAGTTCGAATCCCGGCAAGGGTGTAGCTGATTACCAAATGGAATGATATACCAAAATGGAAGATCCATTTGGATCTTATGCATCATCACTTGGCAACAAAGGGTATTTATGATACATAGGATTTAATAAAAAACTGAAAAAATGAAGCTTGTTTAAAGTGTTTAAAAGATCCTGCCTGAAAAAGTGGAATTATTTTGGGATAAGTAAATTAGGGTAAAGGGTATTTTTTTAAATTTAGAATTTAAGCATTTAAGTAGTGAACAATAGCCCTTATTTAGATCCTTTTAATTTTTCCTTATGGTAGTCATTGTTAATAGAACTAAAACTCGTATGCATTTCTGCTTATTTCAGTGTGGATATTAACAAGCACTTATAATAAATTTAATAATTTCGTTCATAGATTTATGTACTTATTTAAATGCGTGATATTATGTGTATTTAAGTAAGTATTTTTGTAGAATTATTTATCTCATATGACAGTTTCATAACGACTGGTAAAGAGGAAATTCTAGCAAGAAGCAGACGAAAACCATTTGTAAAGTTGTCTTCAGATATTTTGTTATAAAAATTTCATTGTACTTTGATCCATTCTAAATAATTTGTGGTTTTGTAAAATGTTCAGTTTTAATACTACATGGGAAACTGCTCGTCAGCAGTTATGCACAACTCAGTTTTTTACATCTCTGCATGGAATAAAATACCGCCCATTAATACTGATGTAACGATTGCTGTTATTGCCGTTTCTTTAATACATATATAGTAATGTTAGTTATAGTGCTACACATAATTAAGTCAAACAGTTCCATATTTTATTTTGAGTGTTGTGTCAGAACCGGAAGTAATCAACGCGAGTAGATAAATTCTTGAGTTCCAGCAAAAACGAAACTGTGTATTCCTTTATCAGTAATAAGTAAAGACAGCATGATCTATGTTATTGAGAAGCGCAAGTTTTCCTGGCTGTCTGTTGAATTAATGGTAGTTTACTTACAGTGGCATAAACTAACTTGTCAGTTTCCACTTAATTTGGGCGCTGTCTTTACTATGTATTTATACTTTATGGTGACTGAATCGGGTATAATTGTTTTCAGAAAGACTAAGCATGCATTCCATGATAATGTATTGGGCATAATTTTGTTTTAGTTGATTTTTTTTATATTTTCTAATATTACCATTTTTAACGTTAATACAAAAATGTGCCAGATACTTTAATGTGTGTGTATTTATAACATTTGCCGAGACTTTTTTAATTTAGCCAACAGTAACTTTGATCTGTTTATTGCTGTTTGTTGGAGATAAAGACGGGCTTTCGTATTTAAGGTTTTGGAAAAATAATTTATGCCTTTTAGGGAACACGCGAAACTTATCCTTGGTAGAAAGTGAAAGAATGCATGATAGTCCTTAAAATATTGATAGTAAAAATGCTGCTATTTAAATAATACAGAACAGGAGAAGGACCAAAATAGTGTGTATAAGACAAAACTAGCGATTTGAACAAAAGGGAAAATGGTGTGCAGTTCTGATTTTTGCTACAGAGAGAAAATGAAAAGCAAGGAATGTAAGACAATATACTATTACGTGTGTATTACGCGTTTGTAATCGCATGCGAAAGACAGAGTGAACAAAAAGTAAATGTTAAACTCTTAAAGCAAAGTTAAAGGGTTCACGTCTGTGGGTTCACATTTGCCAGCCAAAGTCCACAAGATAAGGTCTTTGCGACTGACGAACTCTTTCTGCTTAAATATCATTTCTCTTCTCAGTCTATCAACTGTAGGGAGCAGAGGTTAGAATTTATCTTTTTATTACATCCTAACAGATTATTATCTTGATAACCCATCGTACACTTAATAAAATCTTTTCGAGGTTCATTCCTTATTTTGAGGTTAATAGCACAGCTAATTTTGAGGTTAACAGGACAGTTCGGCACAGAATACTTCAATGTTTAACATTACTGCTCAGTACCTATTTCTAACGTTCCATAACAGTCCGTTCCGAAAAGGGCTCATTTCTATAACGTGAAAGCAAAGAAACGCGGACATCAACTCTCTTCTTTCGTTTCTTTTGTATGAAGCTGGTCTAGAACTCACTAATGGAATTTCATTAATGAATACAAATATAACCCATCTTTGTTTTGTTTTCCAATAAGGTTTCAGCTTGTATGCGAACGGTTTGATACGGTTCATTTTGTATCATTGGTTGTAGAATTTTATAAGAAATTACTGATAGACATCAGAAAGTGACTAATCAGCACACCATCTGTTTCTGTCCTAGAATTTTGGCATTCTGCAGCGACATATGCTATAATATATTGAATTCATCCTCTCCGCACGCTTTACAAATGCTGCGATAAGCTGTGACTACAGTATTACCTTTTTCCAAACTTAGAGTAATATGGAAAACAATGCCTGAGATGCTCCTCGTGGCTTGCCGTTTTAAACCGTTATACGCATGAGTTTTTTGATAAACTCATTGCTTTTGGATTCTGTATTGCCTTACATTTTGTGAATAATAAATTTAAATTGTTCAATTTTTTTCTGTTACGGAAGTCATCAGATCATAGTTTGCATCTATAAAACAAGTAAAACTTTGGCACATACCTAACAGTACTATCTTAAAATTAAAAAGAAATAATTTTTAATCAGCTTACAGAAATATATGCTAGCGGGTGGGGTGGGAAGTTTCTTTGTTTTTGTACATAACAGCAAGCCAGAAAAGTTTACACTTATTTGAAAGTTAACAGAGATTTTAATCTCATTTATTTTGAGATCAAAAAATGATTTCGAGAAGTCGTGAAAATAGCTAGAAAGAACAAAATTCGAGTAGTTCAGAAAATGTGGGCCAATTTGAGGCTTAAATTAGAGAAAGTTGGGTATATAAAGAACTGTGTAAGCCTATAAAGCGTCTCCCATCATAGCTATTTTTAAATATCCTTTTCTATGCAGAAATTCTTCAAAGCCAACGAGATAGCTGCTTTTATCACGTGACCTCTCAATTGGACGTTGGCTCTCAATTCAGCACTGCTCCTTCTCTTATCATGTACATAAGTGTATATAGTTTATATTTAACCAAGAATTTTATTACTACTATTAGCTTTCATGTATTTTTACCACCTCCACCTTCACGATGACTCACACCCACAGTGACAATATAGTCACTCTTTCTACATCTTAATATCCTGTCCTCTGGACGTGTTTAAATATGTCTTTACTTTCAGGATTAACCTAACGTATGGCATTTGGCAGAAAGCCTGCAACTCCACGCAGGCTATGTCCAGTATACAGTGGAAAATGGAATGGAATCTAAAGCGACCACGTTTAACAAACATTTCACAAGCATTAATAATTATTAAGATTAAAAATTTAACGACCTGATCATAGGCCAAAGCTTCAGAAATGCATAGCACGGATTGCAATTTTTTAAAAAATTAAGGCAAAGCGCACGAGGACTGTGTCATCAGCTCCATTTCAGTTTTGTCCACCAGTGTTTGATAGAATTGAAAAAGGCTGATAATTTTTTAATCTTATTACAAAATAACAGAACAAAACAAGTAGAGCGCAAGGAATTTTCCCGAGAGAAAAGAAGACTAAGAAAATAAAAAGAAAGTTAACTCCACATTTTTATTAAGAATCACTCTTGTACGCAAAAGAAATCGTAAAAACTGTAAAAGTAAGAAGTATATATATATATATATATATAGAGAGAGAGAGAGAGAGAGAGTATACATTGCAATACGCATACATTGCAAGAGAGACTGCATACATTGCAATACGCCAGTATGAAAAAATTTAACTGTACAAAACACGTATGAATAACAAAACATTTAAAATATTATGATTTCGCGCAAGAAAAGCTGAATAGTTAAAACTATAAAATAGTAGTAATTCCTCCTCGGCTTATTGCGTGAAGTGGGGGCTAATTGCGTGAGGTTTTCGTAGTTTTCCTTACGCGTAACGCAAATACGGAGCAGTCTCCCTCAGAAATCCGCCACAAATGTATCCCTTACCGGCAGACAACTTTAATAAGCTTTGTTGTTGTTAAATGATCCTCTTCAGTCCGCTAGAAGAAGAAGAAAAAGTGTGTTTAAAATAAATGACAAACGTGATATTGCTGCAGGGTTCTTTATTAGAAATCGTACTTTTTTTAGATCTCACTGAGAAACGATGTTCTTCCATTTAATTCAATTTGCTGTAAAAAGTATTATAATTCATAAGACCAGGTGTAGAAAGCACGTCACTTTATCAGATTGGTTATGAAAGTTTTATTACAGAATACTATTGTTTATCGGCAATAAATGTGTATGTCATATAAATGTATAATTTTGTTTATTTTCTAGGAATTCGGTATGGACATTTACTTGAGGCAATCATGGTACGATCCAAGATTGGGATTATCACGATATGGAATAAATCATGTCGTTACTTTGAATGGTCAAGGCGTTATAGAAAATATATGGCAACCAGACTTATTTTTCAGAAATCTGAAAGCAGCAAAATTTCACACGGTAACTGTTCCTAACAAACTGGTAAGACTGTCACCAAATGGAACAGTACTCTATAGCATGAGGTAATGTTTAGAATAAAGAAAGGATGTTTATCACAAAATACTTTTACTAGTATTATCATCAAAATGTCAGATGTATGATGATTCTGTTTATATCAAATTAAATTAAGTCCTGGATAAAGGATTTCATAAAGCAATTTTTCTTATTCATTCGTCCTATAAATGCCATCGATATACCTTTAGAACTAGCACGAAGCATTTTTTCTTACTTATTAACTAATTTATAGCACTTTTCCAATTCTTAAAACGCGATTTACGTCTAAAATCTTTATTGAAACTTTATTGAAACTTTATTATCAATCTTTATTGAAACTTTATTGAAACTTTATTATCAATCTTTATTGAAAACATTTCTTGAATTGTTTCAAACTTACTATCACTTTGAAGTCACACTTGTGTCTTTTTATGCAGTGTAGAAAAATGATTTTCGGAAAAAGAAGAAGAAAATATAAATCTAATTCTTTTCCATAGTTTTAACAAAAATATAATTATTTTTTGCTCGGAATTTAGTGCACAAAAACTCTTTTTATTCAGTGTGCACAATAAACTTTCATTACTGTCATGCATATTTCATAAACACTGGTGAGCGAAAGATACTGCAAGTACGAAATCTGAATGAAATGTTTTTATCTCTGAAAACGTTTCGATAAAACGCAATATAAAATTACATTACCTAAAATGCTGTAAATTTACAAGTGACTGAACGTGAGTGTCAATGAAAATGTTTTGATGGGGATTAGTTTTTCCGGTGTATAAGAGCACTTTGTAGTCTCAATATTAAATAAAGCAATGTTTTTATAGTAGTTTTAAAACTAACTAATTAGGGAAACCATGGAGAAAAATGTTTTGACATATTTTTGTTCCTTAATATGATTTCTTATGATGTAAAATCACTCTGGGCTGACGTTTGTATCGTTCCTTCCATGCATAGAATCAACCAATACCCTAAATAAATTCCTTTTTAAGCATTATTCCCTTTTAAGTTTCCACAGTACAATTATTGCGTTCTTTAGTGATGGTTTTTTTCAGTTGCCGCGTTTGCTACTTTTTCCTCAACCTTAAAATTAAAATATAATTTAATTAAATGCAAACGAAACCAATAATAAGCAACAAGAATCAATGTAACGTCAGAACCTTCCTCTGCTGTCAGTGTGAAAATGACGAGGAAAATTTTTTTTTTTTTTTAAGGTGCCTATATTTTATGGGCAACACAAATTCTCTTTTTTTCCTTCCAGTGTCAGGTTTTAGCCGTTCATAGGCATTTGGTCACTACTAAGGAAAGAAGCGGTGGTTTCTTTATTACAGAGACACCTAGTAAATGTGCCATCGTTGCCTCCTATGAAAGGACGGACAAATTACAGCCATACCTTCTCCGAGATTCGAACCTGGGCCCTTCGGTACGGCAGTCAGAGTCACTGACCACTTCACTTCCCCGTCTTGGCGGTGCAACACAAATTCCCTTCTGTTCATTTCTGGTCATTAGATGTCGCTGGCGCATTCTTATATTTTCTGCTCTTAAGCAGTTATATGCTTCTTTTCGTCATTTTCTCTTACACAGCGATAAAAAAAAAGTCCTGTTTAATTTCTGAAACAGTAACATTGCAAATTTACTTACGTTACCCTGATTCCTATTGCCATTTTAGGTTTCTTCAGCATTTAGGTTTTGGGCATGCTCATTCTTTAACGGAAGTTTGCGCCTAGCCATATAATCAGTGAGTGAACAAAATTATCACTCTCCTAATTTTTATGAATGTCTTCGCGCTAATATTAGTTGGAACATCGTGAAATAGCCTGAAAAGTTCTGTCCCAACTGGAACCAGACTCTTTCATGGGAATTCCATCAAACCAGTTAATTTTTCTGATACTCTGAAATGAATTCTAAATTCCGTGTATATTTGTATGCCAGCACTTACGTATGATCAAGTACTCAAAATGCTTTATATTTTGAACGAGACCATGCGAGTCTAGATACTAATTAGAAAATTATTACTAATTACCTGACAACCATACATACCATTCACTAGCCGAAAATGCAAAACTTATATTTTATTATTTTTATTGCATTTAAGATTAGTAAAGATGTTACGTTTAAAACTTTTAAGAACATTACGCTCAAAATCTATATTAAGTACATATAACGAATATTCAAAAAAAATTGTATGCAAAATTTTATGTTGAAAATAAGTCTTAAAATTTACAAATAAAATAAGTAATTTCTTCATTTTTAAATCTTTCATAATGCTTTTAAATTTAAAAAAAATACTTTGTCCTTCCTAATTAAATGTTTAAAGTATTTATTGTTTAAAATGATAATCACTGAAGGCTTAATAAAAATTTAAATATTACGTAAGCGCTCCCCAGCTTTCCTAAATTGCCATTTGTTTGACTAAAGGCACCTAAATTGACTAATATTTGCACAAAATTTGTTTCATCTTAAAAATTGCCTAACTATCTGTAATCGCAAAGTTTAAGGAGGCTTTCTGAATTCAATATAAAGTATTTCTTGTTGTGAATTGTTTAAATTATTTCTTTTATTTCATATATTCTTTATGAATAATGCTATTCTTAATGAAAACTCTCTCAATCAATACACATTTTCTGGAGAGAAAAATGTATGTGTTTATTGACAAATTTACACATTTTATTCTTAGTTTAATGAATAATATTTTGAGGTACACTTTTCAGTTGATAGCTAATATTTACAAATATTACTAGAAAAAGTAAAAAATTTTGAAATAAAAAAATTTGTGATTAAAGTGTCAAAGTTTTGCCCTGTAAAATAGTCTTCAAATCATTTTGTTGTGAAAATACGATTTGCGATGATTGGCATAGTTTTGTTTATTTTTCCTACTCATAGGCCCACAGTGCCTTCTTAGGTAAAACTTATGGAAGATCCCTCTAAATCCCAAGCACGGTATAGTGGAGCGCATTTCCCAGGAAAGACTTGAGATCGCTTAAATTTCTGGGTGAGGAAACGCCAATTGATAATTAGTGCAGGAGAAAGCTTAACAATAATGTTTACATTTTTTATTTATTTTAAGACACCTGGAAGTAAAGCTTTAAACTAGTTTAACTAGCCTGTTAATGGATAAAAAATAATAATATGAGGTGTTTTCTCCCTCTGTACCGCGTGCCTTCTTGGCGCAATTGGCATCATGCCCGGCTAGCAATCAGGAGGTCTGAAGCCCGGTAGAGCTTAGCGGATTTATAATGTTTCCTGTCTCCGAAAGTTCTATTAAACTCTACATTGGCGCGAGAACCAAAATGTCATGCATGATAATTCGTCAGCACCAGGATTTGGCGACTGGGAACCTATCTCTCAAGTTAACCTTTAAGTGAGGAGAATGTGAGATATTCTCTGTCCTTACCCTTCCTTCTTGGTATATATGAAAAGCAAGTCTGCTTAGCAGTCGGGAGATCCGGAGTTTGAATCCTAGCGACGGCAATGCACATTTTCCGTGTTTTCTGCTTCAACAGATTTACCGTTTCTACGCACTTGAAAATGTTTCTTGAAATTTTATTAGTATAACTTTGAATGGAAGGAGTTCAGAACAGACAGTAAGTATTTAATATTATTGACTAAACTACTAATAAAATTTGTAAATATGTCAATAATTACAACTAATATATTTTCTATTATTGTATATTTAATACACTGAGAAGTACGGGATTTTGAATACAGAATTGCACTTTCTAAGTAATGCTACAAAATTTTCAGTCGATATTTTTTTAGTATTATGAAACAGTAATACATTCTCTGATACAATTTTATATGCACATTTCTTTTTACACAGGTTGACACTTCGTTTATCATGTCACATGACATTCCGTCAGTATCCACTGGATGCGCAAAGATGTTGGGTAGTACTTGGCTCTTGTAAGTTCTTATACTTCATTAAGTATCTCTTGTAAAATAATATATTACAATTTATAAACTATGGTTTTGTTTATATTCTGTTTTGCAGATGCTCAAACTACAGATCAAGTACTATTTAAGTGGAAAGATGAGAATCCAATTACTATAGAAAACGATATTGAGCTACCTGAATTTGACATGATACCACAGCCTCCTGGAGCTTTTAAAAGAGAAATAGATACGGGTAACGCACTAGAAATCTCTTTAAATATTTTCCAATGAATTATGATACTAATTCTTAAACGCGGATCTCACAAATCAACGAAATACTTGAACAACAGATTACGTAAGGTTATTTGAATATGGCAAAGCACACAACGGATATCTTAGAGAAGGGATGCTAGGAAAATGTCTCCAGTTACACAGCGAGAAACTACAAAAAACACCCATGCAGCCAACCCGCTTTCCTGGCTTCGAGCTTGGGTCGAACTACCAGTATTCATTTGTCTTATCCACTCAGTTACTAGTGGAGCATTTGAGTAACAGAGAAGGGTCTCAAGCATACATTTTAGAAATTCCTTCTTTTCTTTATTTTTCTTGATTGTTTCTTGTGTTTACCTATCAAAGTATTACTCAAGCACCTTTTCTTGCCCTGTTAAATATGTTAACAAGATTTCCTAACTTTATGAAAGCAATATAATCTCTCTTTCAGGTTATTGGATTACTTTCATGAAATTATTTAAGCAGTTTTTCTAATCCCCTTCTTCTGCAACTAGAAGAAAATAAGACTACATTTGTGTTTCGGCGATTTTAAATGCGACAGTTTCAGTTTTAAATATTTTTCTAAATTATTTGAAAGATGTAGCAGCCGAAAAAAGTTGCACACGCAAAAGTGCTTCTCTATTACTATATTAATGTATGGAATGTGTATACTAAATGGCGACTTACTATTGTGCAGCACAAACTTACTATTACTTGAACTCTTTTGCAGCACAAAAGAAAATAGCAAATATAACTGATTGAAGTGGCGCGGAATCAGTCAACAGACGACAAGCTTCCAACGGATACTGGCAATTGCTTTGTACGGAAGTTGTTTACCTTGTCGGAGTAGCAAACATTCCTAACAGCAGGTGCCTGAAAATACAAAACTATACAGAATAAAGTGAGACAACTGTTACGGCTCTTAAGACAAATGATACAATGGAATACACACTGGATCGGATTCGCCAGTATATCAAATTGAAGAAGGTACATGCCATCGGACTCACAATTCATTACCGACATTTAAAGTGAAAGTTAAGAAAATGGGTTAAGAAACATTTTTAAAACAATGAGCTAAGAAGAAGCAGCTATTCTAGTTTTATATCCAGCACATATTTCCTTCACCACTATTGCTAACGATGGTTCTAGTGTAGCAAAAAATTTGAAAAAACGTTCTTCCGATAACGCAACAAAATGTATTGGCAATAAATAAAACAATAATTATATTATTAAGATTGTATTATTAGGCTGTATTGGCCTTCCACATCTCAACTGCCACTGACTACCACTGCACACCTTTCTGCCGAATGGAGTGAGAAATAAGCAACAACCACCTCAAACATGTCTTTCTATCCAGATATAAATTTTACTGTGTGTGATGTCCCTCTTCCTATCTGGTAAACCCAGACATCATTACTTTCTCGAAAGCAAGCAATAAACTTACCTTACTGTCTTGCCTCCGTCAACCATATTTCCATACAACAGAGTGACATACGTGTACGATATGTACAATTTTATGATGAGGCACGGGATCTCTATTGGCAGTAGAATGTCTCAGACCTCAAAGACACATTATGTTTGCAAATTCGGTGGACGTACGCGCCGTTTTATACGCTCTGTTCTGGGACTAGGAAACAGCGTGAAATTCTACACTTCGCATGTGTTGTTTTGTTTGCATGCTTGATCATTCCTGAAAATTAATGGTATTGTCTTCAGGAAATCCGGTAGCTTTCCTTGTTAGAAACAGCATTAGATCTTGTAAAATACTTTTCTCGGATATCAATAAATTGTATCCAAGGAAATGGAACTTGTTTTTGATGTCAAATAACGTCCCGTTTCTTAAGTGTATTGTGACGAATTCGAAAGACAAGGGGTAGCGTAACCGTTTTTACTTCGGTTCTTCCTAGACTATATGCAAAAAAATAAAAAATAAATAAACTTATAAAATATTGTTCTCACAGTAGGGTGAATAAGTTCCTGTTTAGATGAAAGTTCTTGTTTAGAAATAATTCAAGATGAGGCTGTCTTGAATAAATCAAATCTCTAAGCCGGTGGTTGCCGGACTGAGCTGTGTTCGAGCAGGATGCTCTTCGTAAGGTAGCGGCGAACCCGGCTACCTCGCTGTATCTCATGCAGACATATTAGTATCGCTCTACGCAGAGCGAAGCAAAAATTTGCTCGTGGCCGAGCTGGAAAAAAACCGAGAGAAGGTTTCTCTCTCTACTTACTGCAACTAACTCTCATTTTTTTTCTCTCTCTGGAACTGCGTTCCATGATTTTGTTCAAGTTGTCCTGGGCGGAAAAACTTCCAGGATCCTTATTTGTCCGTAATTTTTAGAAGCACCTCTTGATTGGCGACAGCACTTTGATTAAAAACTGGATATGATGAAGACAGCCTGGGAAAAAGTCCGTCGGAACTTTTCGATTCCAACTGGGGGTCTCAAACCGGGTGGTCTGAGACACTGAACCTATAAACTGATAAATAATAAATGATAAACTATAAACTGATGGAACTGAACAATTTCTCCTTTCGAACAACTATGAGAGGAACAAAAAGCTGAGATTGTTTTGTGACTGCTGATCACTTCCTCTTTCCGAGAATTCGCAGAGAAATACTCTGTCCATGGGAACTTTCGAGGTGGTCATTCCTTTTCTGAGAACTTCGTGAGGGTCGATAAAATAGTTTAAGACGTTACAGCATGAACCAATGAAAATAGGCTCAAATTTCAGTCAATTATTCAGTTAAATCTTTCTGGCTTCAAATGTCATAATATCATACTATTTATGTTTCATGAATTGCATTTTTCTGCTGTTTGGCTATGCAAAAGAGGATATATTATAATATACATCAAAGCAGTAGCAACCATATATATCGATAGTGAAATATTTTGGTTAAAAGTAAAGTTTAAATGAAAGAACAAGAAAGATGCAGTAGCATTGGCTTAGTCATCTGGTTTTATTTCTTTCAAGAAATGAAATATTTTCGTTCAAAGTAAGTTAAATTAAAAAAAAAAAAAAAAAACTTAGAAGACTAACGTAACGTAAAACTAATTTAATTTTCAATTCTGTTCTTAAACGATTAAACAGGAAAAGCCTTGGAATGAACTTTAGAATAAAAGTAGGATCAACTAGCCGCACATTTTGACCCACACAACTGCATATGTACCGATTTTATCTGAAATCTACGACCGGTTTAAGAATTTATTCCGATTAATGACCAGACTAATCAAAACTCTCATAATTAGCTTATTTATCGATTTCTTAGTAGTTTTAATAATAATGTTAATAAAGGCTGCTGAATGTAATTAAACTAATCTCTAATTTTAGGAAACAAAATTTATAAAACGAGAGTTAAATTAAGAGCAAAATACAAATAAGAAATTTTTACAAAGCTGTGATAGTAAAATTGCACATTCCAAAAGCTATGGGAAAAAAAATCTTCTTAGACCACCTTATCGGAACATGGAAAGTGAAAATTAGATTCAGATTTCGTGGTTGTCAGTTCATCGGATCAAAAAACACGTTGAGTGTTCTGTAAATTGCAATATAGAATTTTTCTATACAGTGAAACGAAGAGTGACAAAATGTTATTGGTATTGAAAGCTCTTTCTTTGAAACACATATTTCATGCAACTACGTTTTGGCTTCATAAAATATATCTTAAAAATTATGCTTTGCTGAATATTACATACATTCAAAGAAGGCAACAATTATGAAAATAATAATTTTATCATATTTGTTTCGTTACCAAAATTTCTAATTTATCTAAAAAAACTATTTGTTTATTTCGCAGGTTCTTTCAGTTTCCTAAATGTAAGCTTTGTTTTTGTTCGGCAAAATGGATACCATTTAGTTCAAACGTACCTTCCAACATTTTTGATTGTCACGATTTCTTGGGTATCATTCTGGCTGCATGTAGATGCAACTCCTGCAAGGGTAACTCTGGGAGTGACAACTTTGCTAACTTTAACTACTGTTGCCTCAGGAGTTCGGACTCAGCTACCTCCAGTGTCTTACGTGAAAGCAATTGATGTCTGGATTGGAGCTTGCTCTGTTATGGTTTTTGGAGCTTTACTAGAATTCACGTTGGTTAACTACTTATCCAGATGGAAAAGCAAACGCAATGAAACAAAGAATGGACTCAAAAGCATTGGAGTGAGTAAATAGTTCAACAAATTTTTATTTATCTAGCATCCACAATTTTATAGATCATGAATTGATTTCATTTTAAATTTGTATTTAATGGAAGAAATATTTGATAAACTCATGTAATATTATATCTTTTTGATGAGAATTCAACTGATATAAGGATTACAGTTTTCTAGTTAATTGTAGGTACTATAAATGATAAATTCCTCAATATATTACAATATCACGATATCAAAAGTGTATTGCTTTTTAACTTAACTCTTTAATGTACATTCAAGAACACGTAGACTTCCGCTGGCTCGGACAATAGCCTTCATCAATCTATGCAGAACACAGATTGCAGAACTTTAAAATTGGCTTTAATAGGTAGGAATTCAAAATAAAAACCATAAAAGTTCAATAGAATCTTGCGAAGTTGTACTATTAATTTATAAGTTGCCAGGAGTTATCTTTAAACATCTCAGTGTAAAGACTGCTTCCCCATTGTCGATATGCACCGCGTTTGAATAGCAAATTTATGATACGGTTTCAAGTAACGAAGGTGTTAAATCAATTGCAATTCATCCTAGGATAAAAGCGCAGTACGGTGATTAGTATGTGCCCTTGGACCAAGAGTACGAGAACGCATATTGTCTGTTTAACACAATAATCATGCTATGAAATCTGAATATCTGAAACATCCCATTAGAAGTGAATTTCATGCATTCTGACAAGTGGCAGAGGGAATGGAAGACAAATATTTAAGAAGCACTGAAAACCGCGGTGCAGGAGTGCTTCCAAAGGAATTTTCACAGGGTATCCATGCAAAGTGTTGAAATAAGTTCATATGACATCATGAAGACTAAATCAAAAAATGAAGAACGGTATAATTTTCACTTGACTAGTTCTATAAGAATCAGCTATACATTTTTTACATCACTTTACGCTAACTGCAATACTAATTTGAGTGATTAAGAATTATGTAAAGAAACATGGTAAGTAAAACTTTGGTGAATATAGGTAGGGTTGTAAATTTGCAGCTCCGCGAATTTTAAGGTATTTTTCTAAGTTTTCGTGAATATAATGTAAATGTCAAAATATCATATTTGCCCTTATTATTCTATTTCTGAAATTTTTTTCATAATTGTTAGTTTATTTTACGTATTTAAATAATTATAAAACATTCTTAATTATAATTTATACGAAAATGCACTAAAAAATCTTGCTTCAGAATTCGAACACAAACTACCCATTAATCCTTTTCTACGAGTAAGTTTTGAAGTAACTTATAGAACAGAAGAAGCTGCAATAAAAAATAATATCTGTACGTGCACGGCGTCAAGTATCATCGTCCACATAAATGGAAATCCTGATCTCAAATAGCGCATAAGGTTTATTTTAGCTGAACACATTATTTTTAGAATTCTTATATGCATCTTCTAGCCCTCCCGTTAGGTTTCCTTAGAATGCAAATTAGTTTGGGTTTAAACAGGTTTATAAGTTAGGTTGTGGCAACTACTCAGTATAGCCTGCTGGACTGAGAACTCTTACCTAGCTGACCTGAATCCTAAGCTTTGTGTATGATAGATGGTAAGGTACCCCTATTGAATAAAGCCAAATTGATATAAAAGTTTTGTTTTCTCTTTTGCTGCTTTAAATACTTCAGTGCTTAAACACTCGCCAGTAGCGGGGACGGGGGTGTTAATTTAAAGTTGTAAACTATGAAGTTGTCTAAAACTAAGTTATTCATGAAACTCATTTGGAAACATCTAATAAAATTTTAGTTAAGTTTTACTTCTTGTCTGTGTTACTAAAGTTTTGTTAGACTACTGTTTAGTTACGTTAAAAAAAAAAAAAAAAAAAAAAAATCTTTTATTTAAGCTTTGTTGTTTTCCAACATTTTCTACACCTTTTCTGATTTAATTTATAAACACATGTTAAAAAACAATCAATACCGAATAAATATATATCAATTTTTCGAGTTTTAGGAGGGAAGAAGGAATGACGTTTTAGCGTTGGTCAAAGGGGTGTAGGGCAATTGTTTTGCCAGCTTCGGCAAGGAAAGGCAGGGAAACAGTTAGCGCCATCTACCAACAAAAATGAAAATCAGAAGCGAATAAGAAACTGAAATTAAAAATCTCTTTAAATGATTGAGGGGAGAAAGAGGTCATAATTAAAATCGTTGACTAAAGAGAATTTTATGGATATGGACATATTCAAAGAAATTTTATTTGTCAGTTGAAGTTGTTAAAGCATGTCTGGAAAAAGATTATTAAAAATAACGACTTGAAGAATGTACGACTCATGAACTTCCGTTTCCGAACGTAAGTTTCATGACCCGTAATGCGAAATTTGAGAGCTAGCCTCATTTTTATCAATATACAGAGTGATCAAAAGAAGTACCCGCAGGCTTTAAATATTTACCATACGATTATCTTTCTTTAAATATTTAACATAGGAATATAATTTCAATCACAAATTCTTTTAAAGTAAGACAGAGAATTTTATGAAAACGGTTATAACACTGGATGGTACGATAAAAAAAAAAAAAAAAAAAAACTGGAAGCTTTCAGATTTTACATTACGCCATTATTAATAAGGAGCGTTTCTTTAACGTTTTGTGTGTTGCCTTTATTTATTAAATATCATGTTATTTGCACTCAAACCATAAAATTAAATTCAACATCAATATCGCAAAATAATTTTAAAATGAGCAAAGTTTTAGAATTTCCGATACACAGTCTCGCGCGCTGGAGATTTTTTTTTTTTTTTTTTTTTTTTTTTTTTCAGTACAGTGTTGCCATTGCTCACTTTGTACCAGATGACCATATTCGGTAGAAGATTACGTTATTCAAAATTTAATGGCTCTAGGTACCGTTGTTTTATCCCAATGCGAGAAACATACATACATTGATGGAGATTCTTCATTATTTAATTGCTTTAAATATAACTCAGGGAGATAATATTTGGTGGCAACAATTTGAAAAGTGAACCGACATTTCTAATGAACAAAAGCAAAATGCCAAAACGAAATTAATAGTCCTTCAGGGTAAATTACTCCTTTGGACTAAAAAAATCTAACTTTTATAAACTCCCTTAGGCAGAAAACATAACAATAAGTGGCATATTCTTTACTAGTGGGTTTTAAAAAATTCTCTGCCTTTACGTATATAATTCGCAGAAATATCCGAGAACGACTTTACCGCTTTAGATAATTTTTTCATGCTTGCTACGGATTTAAAATATGATTTTTTTCAGCAAACATTTAAAGAGCAGATTCAAATCAAACATTGATTTCTATAGCAATTACCATCTTGGGTTAAAACTGCATTCGTTATTAAATTTACAACTGACGCTTTGAAAGTATTTGTTAAGCATATACTTACAAATTTTATACAAACTGAAATGAAGCTACTATTTTACTAATCAAAACCCAATAAGTAGTTTACTAGTTTGTGAGGACCATTTAAAAGTTTAGATTTTATTTCTTAAGAGCACTTGCATATTTTTACGATGTTGAAACTGTTTTCATAAAATTCTTTATTTTGTTTTAATTAGCATCGTAATTAATTGGAAGCACGTGTCTAGGATCAGATTTTTAAAAAGTAAAGTCTGTGTCCAGCTGCCCAGGCGGGAAAGTGGTTAACAGGATTCGTACATATTTCTGCACACTGAAATTAAGTACTTTTAAGGACCATTAATGAAAAAAAATTAAGGACCTATGTGCAAATGTTAACTGAGTAAATTCAATTAAAAACATTATCTATGCCCGAACTTCACTTTTGTAATACCAACTTAAGAATAAAATAGATCCGTAAGTAGGATGCATTATTATTACAGATAAATTAATTAACATAATTATTAATAAGTTTGAGAATAAAATAAACTTTATCAAATTTATCAAACAGAATTAAATATTTTACACTTATAATAGTTGAACATATTTGAAAGAAGAAAATTTTATTTACGTCTTACAAACAGCTTTATGTTGATTTTTTTTTAACGGCTCATTTTGTCACATACTTTCTCAGTCTAAAGGTTTGGTAGATAGCAGGTAGATTTTATGTCAAGCGGCATAAGTTAAAATGAGAAGTAATATCATAATCAGCATAATTCATAACAAAAAGACTGGCTGTTGTCACCACTGCTACTCACCTAGAGAGAGAACTGCTGATTAGAACAAACATGAAAAGCCTGATGTAGGCACGGTTGGCAAGTTTTGAAAGTTCGGTTGGGTTTTGTCTGACGCAGTTATCATCCACACACTTGAGTCCTGGCTAAATGCCTGGAAAGTAAATATCAATGTGGATAAATCCGAGACCGTTTGGTTCACCCGAAGGAGAAACATCGATAATGAAGACTGCATCCACATGTATGATATCCTGATTCAGTAGACTAAGCAAGCCCGATACCTTGGAATTATTTTGGATAAGCGACTCACCTGGACCCCACATATTACACAGATTTAAGCCCAGTTCCGTGTCCGTAAACGTACACTTACTCATTTAATTGACCGGAACTCAGTTCTTTCTTATTGACAACAAATTACTCATTTACAAGACACTTTTGGGTCCCATCCTCTCATATGTCTGTCCTTGTTTGGGGATATGCTAGACTTACTAATGTAAAGAAACTTCAAATACTTCAGAATATCTTACTCAGACAAGCGGTGAATTGTCGATGGTTCCTCAGAAACTCGGAAATTCACCAAGAGCTTTAAGTACCAACTTTATGTGTTTACTTTGCTAATCTCGCAGATATTTTTTTTTAATATACCAAATGTTAACAATAGCACGATACCAGTGCTAAATTATGACTATAATTCTGACAGTAATAGAAAACGGCTGCTGGCGGTCCTCAGATATCTTGATAATTAACTGTTATTATTAATACCCATTTACTCAGTTTTTGACATCCTAATTATACCATGCACAATCTCCCACTGTATTGCTTTTCTGGTCAGCTGCTGATGTTTGCATATATTTACCTGTACATAATGTACTTATTTTCTTTTTCTATGCATTTATGTTTACTGTCATTTTATGTTATCTACTTCTATTTTGTTAATGCAACACATGGGAGACTCAAATTCTGCGAGCTAAGGCATTTCTTTTTATCCACTACACGCCAATTGCTTATCATGCGCACTTACCTTCGCCTCAAGGCCTGCACCGCAGGTGTGTTTCTGTCGGACTCGTATTTATATGCTCACCCATACTGTGAACTGTTCTGAACTTTCATTTTCTTCGATGTGTTTCATAAACTATTAGAACACTCAAAGAATCGAAAATCGAGCAACCATTATGCCGGGATAGCGTCTACACGCGGGCACCCGTAACAGCGAACCTTATCGAGTTTGCCTGAGCAAGACGCAGTTACTGTCGTAGCTTCGTTTCTTACACTTAGGGTTTCTTACCCTTTTTTTTTTAGTCGCGACCCCTTTTTAACATTGAGATGTTTTTCGTGACCCCCAGGACCCCATAATAGTTACAAAAATTTTCTAGGACCCCCATAAGTATTGCCGAAATCCGACACACGCGTGAATGAAACTGCCAATTTTTTCACTTGTACTGTTATATACTATTGCAGTTTTAGGTCATTAACTTTAATTTCTAATTTTAGGACATAGAATAATGTGAAAATTTTAAATAAGTAACAGACCAAATGACAGCGTAACATGCAAAGCAAGGAAAATGAACGTTTATATTATAAAAAGAATGCGTCGAAACGCTTAATTCTAAAATTATTATAATAAGAAATATCAAAACTGCTAAATTTTTGACGACCCCCTGCTGCAGGTCCCGTCGCGACCCACAGTTTAAGAAACCCTGGTGTAGAGTTTCAGGGGTTGTAACCCGGTTAATATACTTTAAGGTTCCAATAAGGCACTAAAGCACTAGAGGTGTTAAGTTGTTTTGTATTATTTTAAGTCTCACTAGAGGCAAAGAATAAGCTTTAGATGAATTTTTACATTTTTGTGCTTTATCTTGTGACCACGGTAAGGATTAATGAAAGGCAATAACTCGCTTTAATATGCAGAGATAATTTTTAAGGGTAAGCAGTTAGTTATAAGTAATTAAATTAGGTAGTAGATAACTTAGTCATTATGGATTTACATGGCGAATATTAAATTTCATTTACTTTTTAACAACATCTGTTAAAAAAAAGCCCTAATAAAATCACAATCTAATAAAATTTCACACTTTAAAATTCATGTAATTTATGACATTGATTCTTAAACGACATTAGGATAATTACAATTTAAAAGCTACAAAACATTTGTATTTTGCAGCAACAACACTCAACAAAATACTTATGCGTCTATTTCATTTGAAGGTTTCCCAGACATTTTGGCTATTTTATATAGATTTCCTTCTCTTTAAGCATCTTTTCAAACATGCGTTTTTCATGTCTCGAAATCGCGATTTAAGATATGTATTAGATTTATATATAGCATTGTTCTAATATTTTGACACAAAAATCGGACTTTTTCTGAAATGACATGCCAATTTTTTTTTTCCATATTTCGATTCTACCACTCAAATTGCGTCAAACTGACAAGTTTTCTAAAAATCGCATGAGTAATTTAAAAATAAAATCTCAAAATTTTAGCTCCTCAATGTTAATTGAATTTGGTATATATTTATTGATCTCTCTTTTTTAATTAAATTTATTTGAATTTTCCTTTCATATTTCGAAATTTAGGTTCATTCCAAATAAAATTCGCCCATTTTTTATGATTTATTTTTTAAATTTGTATTTTTAAATATTTTTTCTAAATTTTCGAAAAACATTTTAAATTATAGGCTATAAAATTTTTACCATCACCTTAAAGTAGATGTATTTTAAGCATACCTGCAGAAAATTAAAATTTTTTATTCAAAATTTCCGAAAATATACGAGAAATTATATACTGGCGCGTTTTGAAATTTGGCATATTTGTTGAAAGCGATAACAACATCAAATGTGGTTTAGGCACTTTGTTAAATTATTCGAAAGGAGAACGATGTGACTTTTTTTCCGTCCTTCACAATGGAAGGGAAAGGAAAATGGGTTGCCATATATTAAGAAGTTGGCCAACTGAAATATTCTTGGCGCAAACTGAAAAAAGTCGCCAAGATAAATTTGTGAATTTCTCCGTAAATCCCAAATTTTACAAAATTTAATATTTAGGCATAATTTGAATCGTAGAATCCAAATATGAAAAAAAAATTGTTATGTTATTTCAAAAAAAGTCCCATTTTGTGTCATAATACCTATGTTAGAACAATGCTATATATAAATCTACTATAAGTCGCGCTTTCGAGACATGAAAAACGCAATTTCGTCAATCGGCCCAGTAGAACGGGAGATATAGAACTGCCCCCCCTTTTTTTTTCTTCGCAGTGTGCCTATGAGGGTTTACTTGATCTAGTAAAAGTTAAGTAGTCCAAAACCCCCGACAGACGTGAAACAAATTATCGTTATGTCTGAAAGTAACTACAAAGTTAGACAAAGGTTTAAATAAGCTTCTTTTTTAAAAATAACTTAGAACATAAAGGCATGTTCTGATGCTAACAAAATCAATTACAGCTCGTGGTGATGTGATTAAACAAGAACAGTCAAATTTAAACTAAAAGTGTGACTATACAATTTAATTTTAATTTAAGCTGGCTCAGTAATTCTATTGCCATAACGAATTCAAATGTCGGGAGCGATAATGCAAAGACGAATAATTACAAATTATCAGAGCTGGCAGGAACTAATGCAGCGAGCAAGCGGAGGTCAGAAACACACTCTATCTTACGCTTCAAAAACCGCAGTTTAAAAACTGTCTAACCATTTGCATTCTGGTGATGGGGTAATATAAAATGGGGAATTATAGTAAAGGATGAAATTATAATCAACTGGGTAATTTACATAATAAGAACCGTACCTATTGTTGAAGAATAATTTTCCTTCTTCAACATGTTTCCTTTTCATTTTAAAATTTTTTATTTAATTAAAAGATTTCTGTTACTTTAAAAAAAATCTAAATGCATTTAGAATGTATAGAAAAAGCTGCTAATTTTATTTCTGAACATTCAGAAGAAATGTGAAATATATATGGTAAGGGCCGGTTACAGAGCTGGTGGGGCAGAATTTTTAGAATTTAGTGACACACCAAGCAACAAAATCGAGAAACGACAAAACTTTTAGAATTTAGAGCAGGTATTGGAAGCAGAATTTAGGACCCACAAAGATTGCATCAGTCGGGAAAATACCTAGCGCCAGCCCTGTGTATGATGGATTAAGGCATTATTAGATGCATCTTTTAAATTGTCAGTTTTCATATTTCTTTATTAATAAAAATATTCCTTTCTATAATGATTGTTCATGTGATAAGTTTAGAAGCATTCCTGATATTTTCCATGCTTGTGTCTAGTGAAAAGTAGAGAAAATAAAGGGGATATAAACAAGTTAAGAAAAATATTCTAGTATCAGAAGTAAAACATTCAAATTTTATGTTTTCATTGTTCTTCTAGACGTTCTATAAAAAGTAAGGAATTCATGGCAAACTTTCCGTAAAATGCATCCATTACGTGTTAATACCATGGAGACATTTTTCTGGAATCTTTTAAAATCGTGAGTCTATAAATCTTGCCTTCAAAACCTTCTAAACTTTTCAAGTTGCGGTGTCTAAAATCCTAAAGAAAAATTACCCCTACCAATTCAGTAACATAAAAAAGCCCGAAATATTTTTAAAAAAAGGTGTAAAATTAATTTTATAGAGAAAACTGATGCATATTCTGAAACAATTACATGGGAAAAACTGTGTTACCATGAAAAAATTAAAAAGAATTTTTAATTAATTACGTAGCTATTTTGCTTTTGCTAAAAACTGTTTCGTAAACTGTGCTTTATAGCATTACACTTTGTTTATTTTTCAGATTCAAAATATTGTATATTAAGTAGCCAAAATAGAACTTTATACTATCACAGCAAAAAGTAAAAATGTTTTATTTTAATGTTAATTTTTAAATATAATTTCAATATATTACCATTATTTTAATGAAATTTGTCAATGTTACAATGTTTCAAAAATATCGTAAAAAAATTCCCATATCTCAGAATTAAAAATTTTTTGTAGAAACTGATCTTAAAATCCCCAAAATGTTGAGAAGTTTCTAAATTTAAAACCATTTAATGAAAGAATTTACATCCCCAAAAGCGAAAATTTGTTTAAGATATCTTCATTAGAAAAAACAAAATAATTTCGAAATGCTTATATTTCACTTCTTGCTCAGAAACTCGAGTATCCCACCATTTATTTGAGAAATAGGAACAAATTATAACCCATTCACCCATTCAAAAGATATCTTAAACATTGTCATCATATTTGTCAGTGAATCGCCAAAAATATCCCTCCAAAATGCTAACTCACACTCAAAATGGCAGTCCTAAAAACAGACAAAAATTTCAGATGATTAAAATTAACGACCAAAAATCGATTCCAAAAAAAACCTAAGGACTTTTAAGGTCTTTTAAGGACGGTACGAACCTTGGGTTAGTTACTCTGACTGCCGTACTAAAGGTTGGACCACCTATTTAGTGCCTCCGTAATAAAGTAACCATCACTTCCGGCCGTTGTAGTGGTCAACGTCTACAATGGCTACTCAGTGTCCATCTCTTTCAAATAGTTATGAAAGTAATAAAGTACATTAGGCTAATGAAAGTTGGAAAAAATTGGAAAAAAAAATTGGTCATATTTGAAGTTGGGTAATTTTGAATGTCTTAACAAAATGCTCTCCGTATTTCAAGAGCTATCATGAAACAAAAATGATTAGCCATAGGGCATTCTATAAGTCTTGTTCTCACAAGTATTTATATGCATCATTTCCGATCTATCTCAATTATGTTTAATTAATTTATTGCTTTTTAAGATATAGTGATATAGAGATATCATATAAATTAAATTCTTTATACTGTACATGTAAATTATACCTTCTTAAAATGTAATATTTTCCGTATGTTTCAGAAAAATAAGCAAGTTTTGGAGCTTTATAAAAGCGATGAAGAAAAACATCAAGTGCAGCTTGAAGATAATAAAGAAAGTGCTGCAGAAATGGAAAAGAAAGCATGCGTAAAACGAGCCTTAACTGTTGATCGCACATCTAGAGTACTGTTTCCATTAATATTCTTCATCTTCAATGTGGCATACTGGGTTTACTACCTCCACCTTTCCAGACCAATATTTATTTAACCTTGTGTACCATATTCCTTCTGTTTTCTTCAGAATTTTAGAAAAAAAAAATGTTTGAACACATTTTAGATATTTATAGATTTTTACTCAAAAGAAAATAAGGATTTTTTCCGTTACAAAGCAACATACGTTACATTACAACATACATACAATATACATTACAGAAAGTTACATGCGCCTATTTGTTAAAGCCCCAAAAGGCATACTTTAGTCACAGTCTCCTTCCGACTGAGGTAAGTTGTTTAAAAACATAAAAACTATTAATTATTTGAATAAACAAACGACGAAATAGAATGATACACTTTAAAAAAATATTGACTTTATTTCTTTTGAAAATAAGAATAGCGTATTAAAGAATAATCATTTAATTCTACAGTGGCCAATAAGCAACGTTAGCGCATTTATCTTTGAATAGGAAATTGTTTAGCACGATTATCCTGTAACTGCAAAGTTCCAAAAGTAATTAATATATCAAAACTGTTTGTGCACAAGTTTCTCGTCTTTGTATAAATATTTGTTTTTTTATTTGTTGTTATTCTTTGTATACCTTTGCAATGTAATTTACACAGACAAAAGAAAATCCATATAATAATATATATATATATACATTCGTACACTAAACAAGCAATGAATGTTTAGAAATGTCACTATCATCACAGAATAATCTTTTAGATGCATAGAAACGATTAAAATGCCAGATATTTACTGAAGCTATACATTCACAGAGAATGAGATTTAATTTCATTCCCGGAAATTTGAAAATTAACTGCTGCTTTATAAAATAGAATTAATGGGTACCCAGACTTCGAAAATGAGAATTTCATATTTTTTCCGACAGTAAGTATTCTAGGTTTAAGTCTTCATGTACACAAATTTTACCAATTAGATCCTCAGCCGCATTTCAGACAGCGTTTAATCTGTGTTTGCAATCATAAGAGTGAGTGAAGCAAAAGATCCACTCAACTTGGAAGATGCTGAAAATACTAATGTCAATAATGAGGACCCAGACTTCGAAAATGAAAAATTTATAATTTTGTCCTACCGTCAGCATTCTATGTTTAAATCTTCACGCGCACAAATTTTAGTAAGTAATTCCTCAACGATTTTTAAGAGCGAGTTTAATCGCTATTCACACTAACAATAACGCACGGCTTCTTTAAATAATATGAGTACACATTCATATGTATAATTAGACAGAAATGGATATTAAATTTACTTTTTAAGATGATGACTGAAACCTGCATTAACTCTTTAGACCCCCGGATATTACCGGTAAGCCTATTTTACAGGTGTACCCGGTAAGATCGTATAAATATTGTTTATGCTATAAAATCTATGAATACTAATTGTGATTCGTAGTTTGTGAGTTTTTGCGAGACTGCATAATGTGGGATCTCGTCGTAATTAAAACGCATACGTAATGCTGGACACCTGTTTATTTTTGCTGGACATCACGAATAAAGTAAATAAGTATGCTTAGAACACTAAATTATAAAATTATCTCCCGGCTCTTCAAGCCGCGTAGCATGCATAATAACCTTTCCGTAGCTTTCCCTTCTTGGATGTGAGTGTCTATAAGAAAGGTGCTAGGCGCGCCGATTAGAAGAAAGTGCACATGGCCGGAGTTCGCCGATCCTGACACTTGATAGTGTCTTTCACAGATCTGTCAAATCCGCATACAAACATTCCTTAAAACTTAAAAACCTTGTAGAGACATAAGTTATTTTTTAGAAGCAGGAGTTATGCAAAATGAACAAAGCCTGACCCAATCGCCAAATCCTTGGTGTAGAGAATCATCATCCACCACTAATTTAGTTCGGACGCCACTGTTGAAACATTCGGTATTTTTGAAGCAGGAGAGATGAAAAATGAGCAACGCCTTCGCCGGAAATCGAAACACGGACCGCTGGAATACGCGCCCAGCGTGCAGACCACTACACCACGAAGGCACGCTAAGAGAGCGGGAGAAATACTTTATAACATAATATTACTAAACTTTCTAGCTTCATTAACCAATTCTTACTGATTTCAACTAAAATAATTTGGAGATAAATTCAAGAATCTAAATAATTAAAAAGGCCTAACAACCAATTAACTTTTCCACTTCAGTTTAAAACTTAAAACGTATCTATGAATGCAATAAGAACAAAATTATTAAATCTTAATTACGCCTTCAACAAATAACACAGCATATTTTCTTCTTAAAAATCCTAAACATATCATATTTCAGCAAAATATAGGTAATAACCATAAATAAATAAAATTTCTAGCAAATATCATTTTAGCCAGTTTTTATTTCTAAAACCCTATAGCTTTCAAGATTATCTTAAGTACATAAACAAAATAAAAACAATCCGAACCAATCATTAGCATTAAAGTTATCATACTTTGGCAAACACCCCACGTAGAGCAAAAAACCCTACCGCTAAGAAAACGTTAAGAGGAGATCACAGAAAGGCATATTACGGACATGTTGAAAAACAAAATTATAATCGTCAAAAATAGCCCTGTAGTACTTATGCCGGAGAAAGAATTTCTCACATACCGATTTTAAGGTCTGGCTATTCACTATTGATTACAGAAACCTACACAATATAATAAAACATCCAGCTCACTCCTTACCAGTAATCGAGAAGATAACATGGAATATTAAATCAACAAAATATATGCTGACGCTAGACTTCACGACGTGCCGGAAACTGTAATTATTACCAAATCAGGGATTTAGTAACTTTCTAAGAAACCATTTGGCCTATGCGGAACTCCCGCTGCGTTTCACATTATAATCTTAATCCCTGTACCTGGTAAATCAACGTTTATATACTCAGAGGACATGTAACAGGAAACACAACTGATAAGCACATTCAGGATTTGCACAGAATCTTTTCCCTTCTGAAGGAGACAGGTTTAATAGTGAATGCGGCAAAATGTCAATTTGCGAATAAGTAACTTATCTGAGTTACAAAATATCTAAACGAGGAATAGAAATCGTGATTCAAAAATAGCAGCTATGAAAAATTATGCGCCACATAGCACTGACATCATTTTTGAACTTGTCTTTCATTACAGAACAAACATAAAAGATTTTGCGAATATATATTTAATTTTCATATTAATTATTTAAATATTTATTTCATCGTTTATTTTAATAACAGCAACTTTTTCTATGAATTTTAAAAAGCTGAGGCTCGAACCTGCAACCGCTCGCATGCGAGATGCGCACTTAATCGCGAAGCCACAGCCAGACGTATCAACCTTGGCTTTTGACCTTGTGTAACAGTGAATACAAATACGACGTCCCTAGGCTGGAGATTTGCGCATGCATATGCCTATTCCAGGCGAACAAATACAATCTTAAGGACCAATCAGCGTATTTGTCTTTTGAAGTGGACATGGATTTATTTTTCAAATCCTTACTTTAACTTTCTTCTTTGCTGTTTTAAATGTAAGATTTTTTTCACACTTTTAAATTTCTCTTTTTTATTTTACAAGCACATATTCTTTTTATTGTTTTCTTCTCATTCTTACTCAAGTAACTTTATTAATTTTTCATTTCACGTTTACACTTTTGCAAACGTAAATTTTATTTTTGATTTTCGCAAATTAATCTTCCCACTTCTTTTTTCTATAAAAGCAACATTTTTTTTTTCTCATTTTTCCATTTTACAATTTTTTCCCCTAAATTCTTCGTTTCGCTTTTATTCTTCCTTTCTGTATTTTATTTCGAAAACAAATTTTAATTTCTTGCACTTTTAAAATTTTTCCTTGCTATGTTTTTATTTTACGCTTAACCTTCATTTCCATTTCTCCGAAAGTAAACTTGCATATATTTCCCTATCCACGAAATTTACATGGATACCACTTCACTCTACAAGCCTACAAAGATAATATTCTCTGTAACTTAAAATCGACTCCTTCAACGTTCATTCTACAAAGTTTAGTTGGAATATTATATCTCTTACTTTGTTTACTACTATTATTTAATCGGAGAAATTCAGAACTTTCTCTTATAATGTACTGCACTAACTCCTAATGACTGCATTAACTTTTTGAAACATCATGGATTCCTTTTTGCATATCTTACTTTATTCAAAGGATTCACCAAACTATGCCTAGCAAATGTAAATTTTACATTTTCTGATTTCTACTTACTCATTTTCCCTTTATTCTGCGTTTAAAACATATTCATGTTACATTTATAATTCTTTTTTTTTTTTTTTTCCTTTCTTTCTTTCTTTCTTTTTTTTTTTTTTAAGTAGATACAGACTTACTGAAGTTTCTTTCTTATAAGATCTACCGATTTTGAAATAATCTTACGAGGAATAATAAATATGCACGGTATAAAGTGTTTTTAAACATTTAAATAAGTGCATTTCCAGCCAGTTTAGTTAAAATTCATACCAAATAATATTTCATTTTTTATTATTTTACGATAATAAGATATAATAATGTACGATTTATGCGAATATACTCAGAACACTCTCTTTTATTCAACAGAAGAATTAATTTACATAATTAACACAAATTCTGTTAAGTTTTTGAAGCACTTTGCAAAAACATCTTAGACTTTCTTGTACACACGCTTCTCTAAAACACTAAACATACGCTAAAACTTGGTTTTCGTCATGTCAAAACTTCAGACGGATTCATAAATGATTCCACCATCTACTGCGGAACCTCATAACAATTACTACATTCGAACTTAACACAGAATTGGTTCTCTTTACAAGGTACATAGAAGTCGAATTACTTTTAACTATAAAGAAGAATATTCACGTTGTAATGCATTATTTAAATTGGAATTGTAGCTTGTGGCAGAACACTCAAAAATGAAGTTTAAAATACACGTAGAATAATGTTCAAGCATGAAAATGAAAATTTGTCTCTATTTCCTGATTTGGAATCTTTTTTTCAATCGGTATCATCCTTATTTTTTTATGCGTCTCAAAGCTTTTTAACATAGGCATTCTAACTTAATCTAAAGCATTTCTAAAGGATCACATTTCTCATTGACATTATTCAAAACTGAAATCTTTCAGCTTTCTCGAGAACATTTGGCAATTAATTTATCCTACTTAGCAAATAAAATTCTACATAACAGGGCATATTGACATGAATTCCAAATAATGATCCAAAATAGTACTTAACTTAAAAGTTTTAACACGTTCGTTCTAACCTACGATACGCATTTTAAATTGACATTATTACTTTATTTAACACTGAACTCTTATAGCCCTTTGAGAATATTTGACTTTTAATTTATCATGAATCACGGATATCATACATAGAAAATAAAATTATGCATAAATATCGTACATAGCAGGTAAGACTGACATGAACACCATATAATGATCCTACATAGTAGGTAACTTAAACGACTTTTAACACATTTTTAGTATAACTAAACAAGTCAAGTGATCTAAAACAAGTCACACTCACACTTTTTAAGCACGCATTATTTTTATTAAACTCTTGAGCCAAACAATTATTCAAATACACGGGTATTTAATTTATCATGACCATCA